GCCTTTGTTTTTTGCCTATAAGAACCTGTGAGGGAATAGAGTCAGCTTCTTTACAAACATTTTACTTAACAGACTCCTTATTCAGCTCTAAGATTGCTATTTAAATACAGTGCAGTGGCTGGTGAGATGTCTCAAGGAGAGTCCCATTGTCCAGTTTATCATCAGGAGGATATCCACACAGAGACATGGAGGGGGTCAACATTTTGTTGGCAGCAGAAACCTGCAGATATGTTCTGCTTTAGCAAGAAAAATAAGAAGTGGTTTTACTTGGTTTCGACTGCCAAGAAACACAGATACTAAGAAACAAAGTGATACTCTTTTTCACAGCCAATCCTACTGGCACAAAGCCTGTTGCAGGAAACCACAGGCAGGATACCAACCACCTCCACTTCCACACAAACCTCTTTGGCCAAGGTTGCTCCTGCCTGTGCTCTCTTGCACAGCTGCTAGCACCACATCCTTTCTGACCAGCCCTAGCACAATAAAACTGCCAATTTGCTAATGGTAGACTGAATTCTCTCACCCGGATCATCAATAAAGATATTAAATAGGACTGGGTCCAACACAGGTCTCTGGGGGACACCACTAGTGACTGGATATGGCACCATTCATCATGACTCCCTGGGCCTGCCCATCCAGCCAGTTCTTAACACAGCAAAGAGTGCTCCTGTCCAAGCCTTGGGCTGCCAACTTATTATGGAAATTTGAACTCAAATGTGTGTTTCAGGATGGGTTCCAGGCTCTTCATTTGGGATATTGCTGCTTCTATAGACTGTGGTTATCCCAGGGCTGATGGCCAGGACTGAGAGGCAGAGCTCAGGAGGAATGGGAAGCCACCAAGATTCCAGGCTCACTGTGAGTGTTGTACCTGCCTTGTGAAACCCATGGGGCAAAAGTGGGAGCATTGGTCTCAGAGAATGATCCCAACCCAACAATATTTTCTTTAAAAATAGCATAAGAGATTCCTTGCCTCTTGAGGCTCTACAAAACTGAATTGGACAAGGGAATTCCTACTGACATTTCACTTTACCTTGATCTTTTGTTTTATCCATGTCCTGGAAGAGTTTGCTACCATGCGCAGATTTCCTCTAAGGAAGACAAAAAGTTCATCCACCAGTACAGACTGCACTATCCAGAGCACACTTTTGCTTTGGACCAAGTCTATCTGCCAGTCATGACTTCTAGGACTTGCCCTATCCATCTCCTACCTGTGACTCCAAGGCTGTGCTCCAAGACAGGTACCAGTGATAGTTAGGGAAGGAGAAATGTTATCTATTGTGTTTAAATTTCCTTAAATTAAATGGCTGATCCATAAAACTTTCTGAAAAACTAAAGTCTGTTCTTGCCAGAAAAGGTCACCTGTGGGATTTTTTCTTCCTATCTCAATCTGAAACAAGAGATTGGCTAAGGAAGCAGCTACCAGATAAATTTAGTTTAGGGGAACAGAAATTTGTTTTACATGTCAATGTCTGTTGCCTGTGTAAGCCAGTCTGAAAAAATATCTAATTGTTAAAAAATGCCATCAGTGCATGCCTTATGATAGGGGGCTTCTGTCTACTGCACTCCCCTTGTCTCTTCCAATTACGATGAGATTAACCTCAGCTTGTCTGTGTAAATGCCAGGAATCTTCTTAAAGTGGGCTGTCTCAGCTACCTCTGCCTGGGGAGGAGGTAGAGCACAGAGTGGGGGCTGATGCAGCTCCTGCCAGTGGCTCTCTCTCCCTCCACTGACTGCAAAGTGAGCAGACAGCTTCTCCCACTCACTCCTTCAAATGCTCAGTTTGAAAATGAAAGAAACTGATGAATGATATGACCTTCAGCTAACAGAAGTCAAACTGAATTTTTAGAGAAAAAGAAAATTGAACTGGATAGCACTCATAGTATTGTTTCCCCATTTCTGTATTAGAATCTTTTTTTTAATATGATGCCCCAAGGCAAAGTAAAGCCCTGCTAGAAAATGAAGGTTTCTGGAGAAGCAGTTTTTCTGGACAAGAGTGAAATGAATGTTGAATACCTTGCTGAGTGCTCTTCAGAAGGACAGGAATGACTTTAAACTGTATTATGTGTTTTTCCTCTATTACTATTTGTCCTGACAACTAAAACTAGGGTAATTTCCACCTTTCAAACAACTTCTGCTCTCACTTGTACCATTACATATACATTGAAAACAGTTGCATGATTTGTATTTCTTGTGTGACACTGACATATTTTTTACCTGTTGACCCAATCAGATAATTATTTAGCTCTTTTGCATATATCTTAACTGAAAATCAGCTTTTCTTAATTGTAGAGTTGAAATGGGGAAGATAAAATACAGTAGAACAAAAATACAGGTTTTGATTTAAGGTGTTTTGCGGTAAAAATAAAAATATCTAAGTGCCTTAGGTTTCTGCAGGGTTCTCCTTACCATGACTGACCTGAGAGAGGGCTTCTCAGCTGGTACAAACATAATAACAAAGCATATATTCCTGATCAGCCATCCACAAGGTCTGATGCTTTGTAGGCTAGAGCCTCCATCTGTAATTCCATGGAGCCTGCAGCAGGTAAGATGGCATATGATGAATTAACATGTTTTGTGAAATGTGGCATTATTCAAGAGCTAACTTTGCAGCATTAAAAATCAACAAGAAACAAGTTACCTCAAAGAAGCATTTTCCTACATTCTCTGGAAATACTGGACATAAAATCAGAGAGGGGACACATGTCCCCATGTAACCAAGCATTCCTCTGGTTCCTCCCAAAGTGCAAGACAGAGCCTTTTGAATCAGGTGGGTAAGATGCCAAGGCTTATGGAAATTTGGAGATGGAAATAGCAAGAGTTCCTAACAGGGTTTCCAATCACAGCTGTCTGCCAGCATGAATCAAGTGCCTGCACACTCAGCATCAGTGTCCTTGGGGAAGATAGAGAAAAATAGAGACTGTTTGGACTGCAGAAATTATTTACCATCTACTATCATCTGAACTGTGAAGAAAATAGATGTGTTGGTACACTTCTTTATTTTGGTAGTTAACTGTTATCTGACATAATCTCAAAACACCTTTGTAAAATGGTGCTTTCTGTCTTGCAGGTATTGCTTAGCTCCTGACAACAAGCAGGAGGGTGAGCAAAGCTCCCCAGCAGACACCTGCTCTCTTAGCACTCTAACCACTGCCTAGCCTGCAGCAAGGGTGTGAAGAGCAGAATGGCATGATGTGATGAGGGACAGGACATGTGCAGGTCAGAATACTTCCCAGGCAGAGGCAGTGATCAGGGCTGAGGTCTTTGTGAGAAGGTTCCTGTGTCAGGGGCAGCAGCAATTGTGCTGTGATCAGGAGCAGCCCAGGAGCAGCCCTGCTGGCTCTCTAGCTCCTGGCCTATAGGCACACCTGCCCTGGGGCTTGCTGTCACTGAGTGCTCAGCACAAAAGGAGAGAGCAAGTGGTGAAGACACAGGTTAGTACTGTCATCTCATCCCTGGATTACTTTGATTATCCACAAAGAGGCTTCTCTGCTCCCTTAGGACAGCTGCTAAAGAGCAGCATACCCCAGGCCGAGCTGAAATAGGACACAGTGATGGTCAGGACCTCAATCTAAACTATTCATTGTTTAAGTGCTGTCTGTACTGTCTTGTAAAACCAGAAAGGGTGACTGCCTTTGCAAGGACTTGCCCTGCACCCCTGAAAACTGCAGCATTGTACAAACAAACATCCTTCCAGTTAGAATTGTGACTCTCATGGTAAATGTTCCAGGGCCACTTGCTGTCACAGTACTGAATCCTACACATCCCTTGCCTCCAAAACTCACTGATCACAACCCACTGGACAGATGGTCCCTATCCTGTGCTACCTGTGTCATGTTCTGGCTGACCTGAACCACTTACCCCCACGGATGGCATTAAATTCTGGCAGCCAGAAGTGCTCCCTGACAGGTTTTCCTGGTGTAGACATAGCTTTCCTGTCCTCCAAAGGCAGCATGTCTTTGTCTGGCTGTAACAGGTAGATTCTGCCTTCAATAATTAAAAAAGGAAAATGTCACTAGCACAGTTTTGGCCTGAGCTGTGGGGTTTCTTTGTTGCTACTCTGAAGGAACTCGGTGGCAGGTCTCTCACTGGCTTCAGTTAAAACAGGATCCAAACATGGTGATGCAGATAAGCCTTTTTCAAGTGTATTTAGACTTCAAATCACTGATCAGAAGTATGACTGATTTTTCTGTGCCTATTTTTAAGCTTAATTTCATAAAGAAATTAGGCTACTGTGACCCGATTGTATGCCATTTTCCCAGTCTCACTAACTTTTGATCCTGTTGGCCAGTTTCAACTCATCATCCACTTGGGATTAAATTCCTGCCTGAATAAAGACAGAGGGGCAGCACTCCCAGAAAAGGACTGTGATGTGATCTCTGCTCCAGTCACATCCCTGAGAATCATCAGGCCACACAGGTGCACAGAGCACTCAGCATGATGATGCTTCTACCACAGCTTTGAGATGTTTAGATATAAACATTTGAGATGTTTAGATACCAACAAAACTCAAGATAAAAATCTGTAAGAAACCTGGCTTTTCCTGCTCTTATTACCTACAGTTGTTGCTACAGGTACTGCTCAGCTTTTTAGGTTTACGCAGCGAAGAACTCTGGTGACCAAGAATCATCTATACAGTGAAGTGCTTAGGAGTTGGATACCACTCCAGAAAACTGAATAAACACTAGCATCTTTGAAAGTCTTGGCACCTGAGACATTTATATCAAAAAAAACAACGTGCATTCATATAGTAGAAATTTAGTAATTGAAAGTTATCACCAAACATTTTGCTTCAGAAATATCTGAGTTTCTGACTTCTTATGTAATTAAGATTTGAGTGCTTTGCAGTAAGTCTTTGGTATCTACCTGTCCATGTTCTAGTCACAAGAAGAAATGAGCCCTTTGTCTCCCCAAATGGCTAGTTTCACTGCTGCTTTTTCTGTCTTAAAACAGAAGCCTCCACAGTGGGAGTTTAGTTATTGAGTTGATTTCCACAAAAGATTTCATTTGATTTGTTACAGTCCTTTGAAGTAGCTGCTGGAGAACAGCACAAGATTTGCACAGACAAATGGATGAAGGCTATTATTTAGATGAAAACTACTCATATGAATACCCTAATGAAACCACTGTCTGTGAAATGGGTGACTACTTCACATTTAACATCTATCTCACTGCTGTTCTCTACATTCTGGTATTTTTCCTCAGTTTGCTAGGAAACACTTTGGTGTTATGGATCCTACTGAAATATGAAAACCTTACATCTTTAACAAACATCTTCATCATGAATCTCTGTATCTCTGATTTAGTCTTCTCCTGCATGCTGCCATTTTGGGTAGTGGACCAGTCCTTTGGATGGATTTTTGGTGAGTTCCTTTGCAAAGCATCAAATGCTATTTTCTCCATTGGCTACTACAGCGGTGTTTTCTTTTTGACTCTCATGACTATCCTGAGGTACTTGTTTGTCGTGAACCCCCTTTCAACTCTGAGATCCCAGACGCAATGCTGTGGTGTTCTGGTGTCCTTGGCTGTCTGGACTGTTAGCATCTTAATTGTGGTTCCTGAGGTGATTCACACCACAGTGCAAAAAGACTTGGAAGAGCACAGGTACTGTGATTATGAAGATGGGAACTGGAAAAAGGTAGACATTTATGTGAGAAATGTACTCTTCCTGTTTTCCTTTGGAGTAATCATATTCTGTTACTTCAAGATACTCATAATCCTGCTTAGAGCAAGATCTCGCAGAAAGCACAGAACTGTGAGACTCATCCTCATTATTGTGGTGGCTTTTTTCCTGTGCTGGGCACCCTACAACATCCTCAGCTTCCTGACTACTTTTCCACCACCTACCTGTCAGTACATGAAAGACTCCAGCCTCGCCTTTCACATCAGCCGTAAAATTGCTTTCTCCCACTGCTGCCTCAACCCTGTGCTCTATGTATTTGTTGGAGTGAAGTTCAAGAGGCATTTGGCACAGTTATGCAGCCTGTGTTTACACTGCAGCAATGGTCAAGCCTCCAGCCCAAGGACCTGCTATGAAGGCAAACTCCAGCATGAAGGAACATCCGTCTACTGAAGCAAGACCTAACTATTAGGACTAATCCTGAATGAACTTTCAGATTTTGCATGCTATGGATAGCCTCTAATTCTTAGAGGCACTTCCCTGTTTACTCTTTGCAAACATTCTGTGTATGGAAAATAACAAAGTGTATTTGCAGTGGGATAGAGAGATAAGAAGGCCAAGAAATTCTTTCACTGGCCTGAAAGTCTTAAGTTCACAATTTTTTGCACAGTTAGATGGATTTTTCTCTCACTTATACTCCCATTTGAAAATTTTTAAAAAATTGCTTTTCCTTTGGGCATTAAAACATCAGGTTTTAACATAAAAGTTGCTGCATATCTCTTTCTTACCTGACTTAAAATACTTGGATTGTATATAGCAATGGACACATAGGTATTTTTGTAAATTTTAATGCTTTTCAATGTTTAACAGTTTACTCATTGTTTGGTTTGGGGTTTTTTTTGTTGTTGTTTTTGGTTTTTTGGGGTTGTTTTGTTTTGTTTTTTTTAATGGGGGGTGATGTCTGTGGATTAGCTGTGCTGACAATAGCTACAAGACCTCAGAGTTTCTGAAGTTGTCAGGGCAAATGTTCTTCTATCTTCTGGTAGATAAATATATATAAAAATAACTTTGTGTAAAAGTAGCCTTTTGGGTCTGAAATGGAAACTTTGGAAGAGCCCTAGAAGGAACACAAGTTGTTAAACAGATACTTCACTAGAATGTCAGTTTTCCTTCTGTTACTGCTCTTTTCCAGTCTTTCAATATTATTTCAGATGATTGAAGCAGATCAACAGCTCATCTCCTAAGCCTAGCAGAGCATATTTGCTTCTAATTGGTCTTTCCCTCCTTTTCTCCCTTTGCCATGGTGCTGAGAAAACTTAAACTTAAAAACAGGTTATAGTGCAAGAACAAATGGCTTTTTAAATAGCAGGATAAAAATGGCTTGCTTTATTTGTAAAATTGATGTTTGGGGTTTTCTTTTGGTTTGGTTTTTTTGTTGTTTTGTGTTTGTTTTTTTTTAAGATGAACTGATATCCTTCTTCATTCTAGCTCAATATGTATTTTTAATCCCAGGCAGTGTAACATATAGTACATACTCTAGTGTAGCTGTAATGTCTCTGTAAGTCCCTGTAAAACAGAATATTTAATTTCCCAGTATTTATATGGAAAGTCAAGGTAGTTTTGCAGTGGCACCAAGCAATGGTTTAGCAACAGTTCTAAGCAACAACTTGGCTTTTCGGGCATCTGTCTTAAAATATCTATGCTGTTTCCACTCTATTTCATTTGATCTCTAAAGATTATCTGGAGCAGACAGAAGATTCTTCACAGCTGCTGTGTAGTTTACGAAAAGGAGAAACTCAGATAGACCCATAATACAATATCCTATTTCTGACTATACCCAGAAGCAAGCATACCAAAGGAAAAGCATAAGAATGGGGTGAACATACATGAAATGGACCCATAGAGTCTTCCCAGGGCTTGCCCATAGGTTCTAGTTTGTTCTTCAGTTTAGTTGCCAGCACAAAGTGTTTGTATCATGTCCCTTATCATCAGATGAACCCTTCTGAACTGACCAGTCTCAGTATCTCACTTACTACAGTTACTGCCTATAATGTAAAAAATTTAAAAGGGGACTCATTAATTCTACACGGTTCCAATTCACTTGTGCTCAGACAAACCATGGAAAGATAGAAGTTGACATTTTTTTCTGGCTGTGTTGGAGACCAGCCTTTGACTATTGCTTTCTGACAAGAAACATTTGAAATTAATGTGGCTTCAAAAGGCTTTGGGCTGGGGACTGAATACTGTTGATTATTGAAGAGATAAATTATTGAAGGGCAAATTAGTCCAATTTCTTCTATTCTAGTAAGACAGGACCATTTCACTGGTATCAGCAAATCTGCACAAGAGGAAAATACAGTAGCCATGAATACCAAGAAGGTCCCATGTACCTACATAATTTCAACAAGTTGTCATTCAATTAATTGTCCTAGAGCCACAGGACCTTGAAATCTTTACTGTTCATATATTTTACATCTGTCTAAAACAAAGCTGAGAATTATAATAGAAACACAAAGTCTGAAATGATCCTGCTCTGCCCAGTTTTTAGTAAATTATGTAAATATATTTGTAACTTCAGCATATTTTGTTACAGTGTATCTGAGTATGTAAAAATAATTCTTGATATTACCCAACTGTATTGCTGCCATAACCAAAGTAATTCAGAATGTACATATGCTGCCTCCTGATATAATGAAGTAGTATTAATAAACATTCAGAAATCTTAATGGAATTCTACCCTGTGACTATTATTCTCAGACTCTGATAACTATCTATTAAGGTATTTTCAATTGAAGAAGTAATTGTGAATTTTCATAAGTTAATTTAACACTGAAGAGACTTCTGGAGGTGATTCACTGCTCTGTGCTGCTCACAGAAATTTTATCTTCCTGATCAGACAAGGTCACTCAGGGCTTTATCTGGTCAAACTGATAATCTGAAAAACAGGGACTCCATAACTCGTCTGAGTCTTTGTTGCAATGCTTAATAACTCTTATGGTGGATGTTTTTGCTTCCACATAAACAACATTTTTTTTGCTGTAAACTAGTGATGTTGCTTTTTCCTTGCTTTCTCTGTGTCTTCACATTAGAGAATGGAAAAGAGCCATCAGATCTCTCCTAAACCTTGTTTTTCCCTGGGGTTAAACATATCCCAGCCAATTTAGTGTCCTCATATGTGCTCCAACTCTCTGTCCATCTTGGTGATCCTTCACAGGGCTGACTTCAGTCAGTCAATGCCTCTTTCCTATAATGGTGGCCCCAAAATTAGATGCTGTACTGCAGGTCACGGGACCTGCAGTACTAAGACATTCTCAGTGACCACGAGAATATCAGGCAGAGTGGAATAAAGGTTTCCCTCAGCCCAATGTCAGCACAGGCCCATAAACAGTTAGTCTTCACTGCTGCAAGGCCATATACCTGCATTATGTTCAATTTTTTGTGCACTCAGAATCCAAGATCTTTTCTAGGAAAGCTGACTTCTAACCCTATGTTTAAGGAAACACCCTCTTTCCACTAAAATAATTGATAATTTTGCTTCTGATCATAACCAGAGCAAGAATCAGATTCATAAATGGGTGGGTGCAATTTTGGCAAACCAAAACCTGTACTTCTTCACTGCCAAAAGTGTTTTCACTGAGAATACCTTCATTGAAGATACCTTCATATTCTCAATATTTTGAAATATTGAGTTTATTGAAATCATAAATAAAATTCTATTTTTTCTTCTCCTCATGGTTACTCTGCAGTTGAAAATACCCTTCCTCATCCAGTGAAGGAAAATACTGAGAAGGACAAAGAAAAGTGTGAGGGGTGGAATACTATCTCCATATTCAGGAACTGCTGAGGTAATGGAACCAAAACATATTTCAGTTTGTTTTATTCCTCCAAACAATGCTGCTTTCTTCCAACAAAGAGAAGCAAAATAATAATAAAAAAAAAGCTCTCCATCCCTGTGCCACCCATACCACCCATACAGATGTATATAACAGATAAAAGACTCTGTTTTATTTAAACTGCACGGTCCAGAGTTTATGTCTTGGCTCTCCCACAATTGCTGTTGGTGCAGCTGAACCAGCACCAAACCAGATAAAACTCTTGGTACCTACTTTGTCCACACAGGAGTGAAATGCAGCCAGCTCTGATTAGTGACAGCAACTAAACCTGATGTGCTCTGCTGGAAGTCAATCTCAGAAGCTGATCTGGTATTTAGCAGAATATTCTTTCAAACCCCTCAGCCACTTTGTCTAAAATGCCATATTTGCTTCTAGATGTTTTCCAGAGCTTTGCTGGTTCTTTTTATGTTGCCTACTCCCAGCTTTATACCTACTGACAATTATTTGTCCACCTATTCAAAACAGAATGCAAACAAGCAAAAAGTGCTTCCAAAGCTTTCTCCCCACAGTCACAGAAGGTTTCTGATGATGAACAGCAGCCTGTTGTTCAGTCTAGCTAAATGGTATGTTAATCCATTGAGGGTGACCAGGGCAACTGGGAGTTAGCTACCCTCATAAAATACCTCAAGTGCTAGTGGAAGCAAAGCCCTTCCAGTCATTATATAACATAAATTAACTATTGCAAAAAATTTAAAGAAAACATGTAGCTCATATACCAACATCAGACAGATTGAAGGAATGCATTGTATGGACACAGACACCATCATAAAACACTTATATATGGTACACAGGAGACCATTAAGCAGCAATTTAGTTGTTTTAGTTGATTGAGTTGGCTACCTCTATTATCTAGTGTAAAAACTTTTCCCAGCAAAGGCTTTCCTTTTGGTGGTGTGACTGACATTGCCTTTCCTGGCTAGTAAAACTGAAAATAATTCCCATCTAGCCCATCATCGTTTATGAAGAAGTTAATCAACAAATTTTATCAGTGTAAACATGCAGGAAAGCAACACGTGGAGCAGACAATGTGTTGTTTTTTTTTCTCTAGTGCAGCTTCCAAAAAGGAAAGATCTCTAACATCTTCTATTGCTAAAAAATGAAGAAATAGAGAAAATTCTAAGGAAGTGTCGATCAGCTACGGATCTAGTTGGAAACAGCATGTTTTTGTCTGAAGAAATTGATGTGTACATAAACAGGAAATAATTCAATAATTAACATCAATAATTAAATATTTCTGAAAGTAGCTTGTTACTACATAATTAAAAAGAGGAACAATCCATTCTAATTGATTGTTTTCAAGTGAAAAGTAGAATTCTACACAGACTTCTTGAAAATTTCTTAAATAAAATCCATTGCAGTGAAATTATATGGGATTTGATTTACCATGTATCTGATGACTCTGAGATTACTTTTGGAAGACACACAGTTGCCTAGAGATCAGTGGAAAACTAACTCATTTTCAGCAGATGCTCCTGGCACTGCTGCACGATTCAGCAAAGTGTGCCAAGAAAAGTAAGCCTGAAGGTTGCTTCCAAATGGTGTAAGACATCTCACTGCATT